CTCTGCCCTGTGAGTTCTCCTGCTTCTCAACATTTTATCCAACACTATTCATCCTCAGTGATATCACAGAGCTTGCTAGATGACTTTTTTCTTGGTTTATTCCTCCTTTCGTCTCCTCAGGTTGTACAGGTCAGAGTATGGAGTCTATTCCTTCCAGTTCAGTAGTGAAAAGGCCTGGGGAGACTCTCAGTCTCTCCTGCAGGGGATCTGGCTTCACATTTAACTGTTGTGTTATGTCGTGGATAAGACAACCTGTAGGAAAAGGACTGGAATGGATTGTGAGGGGCTACTCTGATGCCAGTAGAAACACTTATGCAAGCAGAGTGACAGGACGTGTAGAAATCAGCAGAGATGACAGCAACAGCATGGTGTACCTGAGACTGTCCAACCTAAAGGACTGCTGTGTATTACTGTTCCAGAGACCCACAGTAACACAAACCATCAGTAGACCTGAACAAAAACCTTCACAGCCTGAACACTTGTAACATGAAGCCACCAGAGGAGGAGCCCTCAGACCACTGATGATTTCACACCAGCTCATCATTAAAGAGAAAGTAAAGACAGTGTAATGCTAAAGTAAATTAATGACACACTTATACTTCTATTGATACTTAATGATAAATATATCATACAGCTTTACTTCATTTTCATGTTGAACATAATTTAATTACATGATTTTTTTGTTTAATTATAATATATAGTGTGGTTTAAGGGAGTTGTGTCTGTGCGTCAGTGAGAGAAGAGCTCACATCATCAAAATGAAAATAAATAGTAACATTTATACAATATTTATATTAATAAACATTTAAAAGTGACTACAGTGAAATAAATTCTCACTGTGAAAAGCTGAAGATGATCCAGAACAACAGATTTGATCATTCTAAAAAGAAACCCTCCCTTTCTCAGCAGACAGTGACATGAAGTGACAGAATCTGTCATCTACAGGATGAATAAGTTCAGTCTATTGAACAGACTTTATAAAGAATAATGTTGTTTTTCTTTTTCATGCTGAGACTGAAAAATAACAGCCTCTCTGTCAAAACTCCAGAAATCAGTGTATGAGTGTGATACTTGGACTGATCATATGAAAGCAGAAGTGATTTCATTGGTCTTATTTGAAATTAATAGATTGATTGATGATGATGTATTTGATTTTACTTGTTTGATTGTCAGCTCTATTACAGGTTTTCTCAGTCACTTTCATACATTTCTGGAAACATCCCTGATATCTGCAAATCACTAAGAGCATTTTTCCAAACAGTTTGTACAAACAGTACCACACAATGGATTAGCTGCAAAAGTATGTCACTTGCTCAAAATGCTTAGTTTAATTCTAAAGGGTAAATAATTATATCAGGGTCAGTTTAGAGAATTTCATTTCTGATCTGAGAAATGTACAAAAGCAAATGAGAAAAACTGTAACACATTACAACTAATATTCATTCACAAATTTTAACTGATCTAAGGCATCTCCAGTTGGCTCCTCCCTGTGAGGAGGAGTCAATGCAAAACTCAGATGTCTTCCACCTCTACTTATCTGACTGCAGAGAGGATGACAGAGAACAGTGGACACACAGTTGAACATGATGGACTATAGGACAGGACTGCTGCTGTTAACTATCTGCTGGGCAGGTGAAGAATTTCGCAGATCTCAATTTTAAAAAGCTTCATTTCAGTGATCATCTTAATTCACATTATGTTTTGTTTTGTGTTTTCACAGGTGTTTATGGTCAGACTCTGACAGAATCTGAACCAGTGGTTAAAAGGCCTGGAGATTCCCACAAACTGACATGTTCAGCCTCTGGATTTAACTTTGGTGGCTCTTGGATGCATTGGATCAGACAGGCTCCTGGAAAAGGACTGGAGTGGATTGCTATTATTCATCCTGATGGCAGTAGCCATATATCCTACTCTCAGTCAGTCCAAGGCCGGTTCACCATCTCCAGAGACAATAGTAGAAACCAGCTGTATCTGCAGATGAACAGTCTGAAGACTGAAGATTCTGCTGTTTATTATTGTGCCAGAGACTCACAGTGACTGGAGCTGGTTGAGCAGCTGTACAAAAACATACAGTGCTCCTTAGACCACAAGCATTATTTATTTTTTAACTATTTATACTACATATTGAACATTTCAATCACTGTCATTTATATCTGTTGTTTTTATATTTTTATATGTTTTATGTTCATTATTTTACTTTACACATATTTCTATTATAAATATATTTTTGTCCCTGCCTTCTTCCCGAGACATATTATTACTAAACATTACACATTTAAATAAACAATTATTCATCTGTTAATAGATGAAACTTAAAAATCTGGTTGCTGAAATTAACCTGCTACAAATGTGATAATATGTGATTTTTTATGTGTAACACAATCATGACTGTAAATGATCCAGAAAATACTGTTGAAGCTTCACT